GAGAGAGAGAGAGAGAGAGAGAGAGAGAGAGAGAGAGAGAGAGAGAGAGAGAGAGAGAGAGAGAGAGAGAGAGAGAGAGAGATGGTGTTTCTGTAATGGGAGCAGAGCTCTCTGAGTTGAGACCTGTGACTTATTGCTTGGAGATGAATTAGGGGAGGGGAGATTGAGGTGGAGGAGATATCATTATTTGGTCTTGTGTCTTCGACTTCTTGCTCCTCCTCCTCCTCCTTCGTCTCCCCCCTCACGTTGTCTGTATATGTGAGCAGGAAGGTTTCTTCCATACGTGAGTCCCCCCTACATTACATCGTCAGTCTGCTGCATGATCAGGTCAGGCCATGCCTGATTTGAGTCTTCCACTGTGTTACACACTGTCTCTGCCCCATGTTGATGATTCTCCAATCTGGCATTGCCGACGGTTCATGAGGGCATGCATCACAGTGGCTCACAGAATGGCCCAGCAGCGGATGGGCACGCATATTGGCACTGATGAAGTACTTGTCTTGTTATGCTTCGTGTGGTTCATCTACAATAGTTTACTTTATTTATTTATTTTTCTTTGTTTATTTATTTATTTATCTATTCTGTCTTCTTTCAGAATTATGTGCTTTTGACTTAGCGGCCCCCATTTTTTCATTCAGCTCTCGTCCACGACGTTGGAGTGCTGAAGGACGTGAGTGCCAGTATGGGACATTTTTTTAGTAGGGCCCTCGGGCCCTGGGCACGACAATTTTCTCACCATGGGTACTTTAGAGAGAGTAACCAGGGACATAGTCATTCCTACCTCAATCTGAGTGGCGTATGAGTAGAAGGATTGCGTACCTCGGCAGTGTTACGTCAAGGTGTTGTAGGGAGGTAGATGATCACGCATGATAGTAAAACTCATGTCATCTTCTTCTTCTTAATTGTCCATTGTAGTATGTTCTCTTATGGACTAGAGCCCCAGATTTGACCTTGCCGTGGCTTGGGAACGAGCCTGGGGTGCCGTTTCCACTAGACGCATGCATGCTTCATTTTGAGTTTTCTACATTCGTTTATGCTATCATTATTAACCTTTTCAATTGGTCATTATGTTGATTTTCATTAGGATCCATCTCCGTTATGCTTTTACCCTCTTCCCGCTCGTGTACTTTGCGCACTGGCGTTGGAGGGGTTGGCTACACACGGGGAGAGGGTCTGAAGACGTGGAACAGCAACGATTCTGCAGCGTTATAAGGGATGGCAGAGGCAGGCTTTTTCAACGAATTCGTTTGAGCACATTTGTATGAAGGGGTGGAGCTTCTCCTGCTGCAAGTGGGAATTTTGAGGGAGTACGGGCGACGTGAAGTGCGCCATTGGCCTCGTAGTAGGCTGCCTCATTGCACTCATTGCGGTTAGTCGCATGTACGGACGCGGCAAAAACAGCAAGAGTAGTAGACATGGGCGCTGGTCTAACTGTGGGTGATACTGGATGGATAACAACGCGGGGAACTATGGTGGCGCAGGGCAGCCCACAAGAGCTGGAGCTGCGCCGGCCGCAACCACGTATCCACCTGGGATCAATCCGCCTCAGTACCCGTTGTCTATGGGAGGGGGGCATGCTCCACCTCCAGCGAGGGTGATCCCACCTCCGGGAGTGCCAGTATACCAATCGCCACCGCAGCCCATTGGGCATCGGGGAGTGCATGCTTGGCCTGGGACGAATTTGTGGTAAGGGAATGGACAGTGGATTACTCCACAACCTGTCTCGCCACAAGCTCCGCTCGGGGCTCCGCTACAGGCTCCGCCTGGTCCGCAGGCTTCATCGCCTCCGAATCATCAGCATGGTGGGAATGCACAAAACAGTGGGTCGGGAAGCGGTAGAGGGAAAGGCACCGCTGCAAACACTTTCCCTGGACCGGATCACCGTGCATATTTTACCAAGGAGTACATGGATATCCTTGAGCGGATCAAGACTGATAAGGCCATCGAGGAGGCGGCGAAGAAGATTGGAAGCAACCGACAGAGCGGAGTCCGGTTTGTAGAGCTTCCAGAGGAATCGAGCTGAGTGGAGAATCGCTCCTCTGATAAGAGCGAAGACGTGAAAGCATGGGCGACAGCTACACTTGGTGACCTGCTCTAGATGATTAATGAGAAACTCAAAGAAATAGAGAAGAAGTCGAAGCTCACAGGTGCGGAGAAGGAGGAATTCAATCGGCTTCGTGAGGAGAATGCTCGTTTGGAGAAGAGCAGCAAAGAGATTTCCTGTAATGAGAAGCGCAAGAGAGGAGGGGAGTGCACCCCCGTTGCCAACTTCCCTCGTGCGAGTCGATTTGAAATCTCGATCCAAGGGGAGTAACAAGTCGAAGGCCAAGTTGAAGCGGATCTCTTCCGACGATGAAGCTGCCGGAGCCGTGAAACAAAACCTCCAAGCCAAGATGGAGGGAAGCAGTGAGCTTGCGGACATCAAGATGATGTTAGCAGCTCTGATGCAGGGCATCAGCAACGACAAAGGGAAAGCACCTGTCTGTGACCCTGGCTCTGCGAAGGAGGAAGTCACAGAAGATGCAGATGATGTCGATCTGGTGCAAAATGCCCCCAATGTCGAAGAAGATGAGGAAGAAGAGCGGGGTCTTGCGGCGTATGTGAAACTTCGACTTGAATTCTGTAGTTCCCTACATTACACGCGAGTACAACAACTCTGCAAGGCCAAGAGCATACACTATTTTCGTAAGGATCTTAGCGTGTGGGAGTTGGTTTGCGTTGATCTCCAAGAATACAACGATCTGCTGAAGGTAGACAATCCTGTGGTTGCTGAATTGTCCAGGCGGATCGGCGCCCGTACGAAAGGTATCGTCGACACTGACAAGGACTCAAGCTCCGATGACACCCCCATTGAGGGAAATTGACTTTCGGCAGCTTCAGGCCTCTGAAGGGAACTGTAATTCGCTTACTGCGATGGAAAGACGTTGTTGATGCGTCGCTGCGTGCGATGTTGGACCAAATTCACATAGTGATTATTTTGCTTGCCTGCCTACGGCTATATTGTGTGGGGCTTGTCGTATTTGAGGTTCTGGCTTCATTTCTCTCGTGATGAATGGGATCAGTTTCTGCATGCGCAAGGGTGTGTGTATATCCTAATGTCCTTAAGCCACAGACTGGTGTACATTGGAAAGACTACGCGGCCTTTAAAAGAGAGATGGGCCGAACACTGTCGGGCGGTCAGTGGTAGTAGTAAGCAGAAGGTCCACGTGTGGTTGAGGAAGGTGGGTAGTGGACATTAAATGCATCTGGTTCGGAGGGGATATGTTAATTGAAGAGATTGAGCGAACTGTGATTAAGGGATTCAATCCTGGAGCCTTTGTACCAAGATGAACTCTCGCCCCACTCGTGGCAGGGAAGGGAGTCGCACTAGGAAGACGCTCACACCGACACAGATTGTCAAACCATTGTTTTTTGGATGCCGAATGAGTCTGATCTCCTTAGAATTTTTTTAAACTCCTAGTTAAATCTAATTGGAGGGAGATACAGATTCTAATAACCAGGGGGTCGTTCGTTAAAGGTGTGGCGTTTGGTAGTTTTGCTTTTTGGCTTCTCAACGGTCGAGGTTGGTGGAACGAAATTGTTGTTAAAAGATGCAAAAACCGCTGTTGAATGCGGCGGATGTTGGAAGATCTTAGACGTTTCTCGCACAAAGACCGAGACCGATGTATTCAAAGCCGAATTGATCGCACTCCTTCGCTCTCCCTGGAAACAGAGGGACCTCTTTAAACATAAGTTGGATGAGCTGGTCGGCAGATCATTCGTGGGATTCTTACAAATGTCTTTAAGAAGGATTAATCCCCGTGTTGATATTATTGTAAAAATTCCGTTTTGTAGCACTCTCAATGAATACAAGGTTGAACCTTGCGTTAAGCATTGGATTGAGGAGAATGGTGCTCCCTGCGCACTGGCTCCTGATTGCAAGGAGAGTTCGGACCATCTGGCTAAAAGCCAAGTCGGTTGGGGACATCCTGCATAATCATAAGTCATTTGCACAACACAGTGAGTTTCTCTGTGCGTGCGCTGACTTTGAACTGCCCTGTGTCAACGGGCATGTTGAGGTGAAGCTTAGTGAGATAGGGGAAATGCATCCCTTCCTATCTAACGCTTTCCCGGGAACTCTGGCCTCCCACAACGAGTTGACCCGTGCATGTAATAATGCACTGGATTGCTTGTGGGAAATGAGTCTCCCGCACAATGTCTTGCTTATCGATCTCTACCTGGGCTCTACGACAGGCGAGAAAATTCCGGCTGATTGTGTCCTGAGTGAGTATGTGCAGGGCGTCAGACAGGCCTTTGATGGTTTGGTCCTTTCACTGCTTGATTGTAACATGAGCGAGACATGGGTTGAGTGCCCAAAGTCTTACGAGGCTGGCGTGAAGAAGATGATTTTGGATAACGATAACTATGAGGTTGTTCTGCAGGAGAAGGACGTTATTTGGACCGGAATTTAAGAGTAGTATCTGAAAACGGGCCTGGATAGGATAGCTCAATGGGACAATAAAGGCAACCTTCAGCATGCCTACATCTTCTCGAAAGAGAAGGATAAGGGCAAGAAGCGGCCTATTGTCCCCTCATATCCTTCCCCCTTCAGGTCCTCATCCGGTGTCCTTTCCACGGCGCTCAATGTGCTGATTAAAAGGCTGAAGGTACCTCATTTTAACCTTCGCTCCCTTGGTGATTTGAAGGTTGAGATCAACAAGATCAACGAAGCCTGCTCGGACAATGGGAAAAAAAACTTGATGTCATCGCGCATACGTATGACATCAAGGAAATTACGTATGACATCAAGGAAATGTTCACCCAGCTTCCCCATTCCGCAATCACTCGTGCTGTCCATTGGATAACTGATATTTTTTCTGAGAAAGGCATCTGCAATCAGACTCGTTTTCTCACTTACTTACACGCATGCAAACAGATGGCAATCCACACTGGCGCCATGTGCCCACACGAAGCTCCGAGATATTAAGTCCGAGAACACAGTTCAGATGCAAACTCGCTTCGACTTGGCTATGGCGCCTGTGCGCCTACACATCTCACTTCCGACACTGTATTCAAAACAACTGTTCACACGCATATCACGCTGGATCTCCCTGGATGTTCCACGCACTCTCAAGTCTATGTCACACACACACACACACACACACACACACACACACACACACACACACACACACACACATGTACTACTAACTATCCCTAACTGGCAGCTATGGTGTTACATCTTCGACTCACACGGGTCCTACCGGACCCGACTTAGGGCCGGAGGGACACACCAGGGCCTAAAGGCCCGACCTTTGGGGTTTACAGGCCCTAAAGGCCCGACCTTTGGGGTTTACAGGCCCTAAAGGCCTGATTTTGGACTATCACCCATCGGGTAGGCCCAAACGACACTTCGTTTGGGCCTGGCGGCGCTCTTGAAGCTGCCGCCCGCCGATTGAGGCTGAACCGTCCGTCTGGACGGTTCAGGGTCTGGCCTGGCCTCGCAGCATTGAGGCCAGACCATTGCCCACCGGTATAAGTACCGGTATCCGCCTTAGTAGTGGGATCGGCCTACCGGAACTCTACCGGCACGGCATGGTCAGTGCTAGTGCACTGTTTGATGCGCTAAACTTAGCGCAGGGGCTGAAGCAGGAGCGCAGCAGCGAGCGGAGCAGCAGCGGGCGACTGAGCTTGCACGGCGGTTATTACCGCCTGAGGTATCGGGAGCTTGGAGGGTCTCTCCTCCTCTCCCTCGTCAGTCCCCTCTCTCTCTCTCTCCTCTTCCTCCTTCTTCTTCTTCTTCTTCTTCTTCTTCTTCTTCTTCTTCTTCTTCTTCTTCAGATTGGAGACTATCCAGTTGGACAGAGATCAGAGTTGGATTTCGGTGATACGAGACTGTGGTACTTACCTGATTGGAGACTTGGAGATTGTTGAGGTTGATACTCGGCTGCATCACAGTTGGACACCGGTTACATCTGGACTCTGTTATCTCCGACATTGGTGACCTTTGGTCCTCGACATTTTGATCTTGTTATATGACATTCTGGACTACCATTTCGGAGACCTAYCAGACTCTATCTTTGTGACCTATCGGTGTGATCTACCTCCTACCTCCTTCGTCTCTCCTCCCACCTTTCATCTGTGTATGTGTGTACGGGATCTGGGTATCGTCTATGAATGACCCAGACCCTACCATCTCATGATTGTATGCGTGTGGAGTGATGCCATGTAGGTCAGTCTATGTGAGTCAGTCTATGTGAGCCAGTTCGTTTATCAGATTTCCGCTGCATACATGCTCGTCCTATATTGGTTGATCTTTGGTTCTGCCCATACTCATCGAAGTATACAACAGTTTTGGTATCGGAGCAGACCAAAACGGATCTGCTCACCAGGTAAGTCCGTTTAGAATTAGGTTATCATGTTTGATCTTCTAAATCGGCGCTGAA